AGCACGAGAGGGAGAGAGGGGAAGAAAGGGGGGGGAGAGGGAGAGAGGGAAAGAAAGGGGGGGGAGGAGAGAGAGCGAGAGAATCCATGCATCATACTATAAATATTCAAGAAAATCTGATAAATGGTTATGAAATCGTGATTACATTATCCATTTACCGACATAGAGAACGACAACTATAAGCCTCATACGCAAAAGTTTTTAGAATAGGAAAAATGACGCAGGAAGGTCAAGCATTTTTATGTGAAGGCGAGATTTTACGGAAGAGCGTAGTTGTACCGGTTGATTCTGTCTTTTAATTCGTTTCTTGGATTTATTCAACTTCATATGGCGCCTAAAACAATAATAGCAAGGGTGACTTAACAATCGTAAATAAACAGCAACAATTCACCGAAGTAAACGACGAACATTTTTGTGCGTCCAACAATCAACTTTGACTGCGCTGGCATTAAGCGGACATAAAAATATTCACGTATATATAAATATATACACATACATACATTCATACATATGTAAACACATGCACGCAAGCAAACAAACAGGAGCACACACACAAAAGAATCGCTAAAAGCCACACTGCCGAGAAACACAACTACCATACAGAAAGAAGGATGTTCGCCAGTCCTGAAGCGAAGAAGGCTGGAAGGTAGGCGGAGGTCTCTCGAGCGGGGCCTGCAGGTGGTGGTGGCTGTGTCCATGACGCCAGATCGATGGATGACTCACTTCCTTGCCAACATCCCTCCCCTCCCAGCCTTCTCCCCCCACCTGGACAGCTTCTGGTACTCTCCACATACTGGAAGGTGGCGCTCTCCCTCTACTGCGCACTGCATCCCCAATGCTTACGTCGCAAAATCTGCCGTGTTCACGCTAAAAGAACAGAACGGGAGGCTTCGAACTCCACACTGGGATCGCCATCAAATGGTCTGATCTGTAATCAACCTGCCAAGCAGGTATTACATAAACATCAACCCTCAACGAGCCTTCTAATCACCGCCTTCGTCGGCCGTATACGCAACGCACATTGCACTGTTGATGTCGTCCATTACTCTTTTTACGTTCAATCTTTCCTGCTGTAATGTCTGATAACCAATATTCAAGCAATACATCACCCATTTCTAACTGCATGACGGAGCACTCGTCCTATGCTCAGATGGTTAAATGGTCACTACGCAACCAATGTTTTGTTTGGCTTCTTTCTGGGCGCACAAACAACCAACAAACAAAAACAATTCAATTATTTCCCGCACAACACAAATATCTACAAACCAAATGTCTGTTTAACCCAATATTGTATGAGCTGATAATAGGCATATGCAAGACTTACGCGTAGCTTATACTTGGGAAAGTAATGTTCCTTTGTTAATAGTCAGTTGACAACATCAAGTGAACATGATACATCAGTACAAATAATGAGCTACAATCCATCCGTAAACCTACCTGGTAGCACGGCCGCCGTAGATGGTAAACTAAAGGCCGCATTTGCCACATTCCACTGCCGTCACTTCCCAATCGCGGTCACGTTCCCACTCTGCCCACACTCACAGTATTATCAACTCTACTTTGCTTAATTTAAGCACTACACTGTAACACTATCGCAAATATAATCACTAGGGTATGGACAGCACTGCACTCATAAGTATAGCCATTGATTCATACCAACTTGGATATAACCTCATATCATTTACAAATAGGGAGAATATTACCACTGATCACTGCACGGTTGATCTACGTGCTCGTGGCCAAAACAAGCCTCACTTAGCACCATCACTGAGCACCTGGCACCACTACACACTATCACACTACACAGTGAGATGATCATCTGCCACAATAAAGAGCAAGCAGCAGACTCCATACTTCCATCCAGGCGTCGGTAGTCGAGAAGTGTCGATATAAGGTTAATCCTATACTTGCTGTACATCCCAGGACCGGCGCTTAATTCCATGGCAGGTATCCCGATATAATCCTCCTCTGGGTTGCTTCCGTTGGGAAAAATAGGATGAAAAATATCACAGGCACACCACTATATACATGGGTCCACCACCTTTCGAATGCCACTTTCGACACTTTGTATGGATATTACACAGGGCTGACGTATAATCTCGCGAAAAGACTTGACACTTCACTATTAACCACTAACACACTACTTTGCGGAGACATCATCACTGCAGTTTTAAGTCACATGTGCTTTGATAGTGTGGGTTCCAAAACCTCGATAGTGACACAATCGAGGCAGAACAGCTAATAACCTCCCTCTCTGGTGTGGCACCGGTCACCGTGATCACAACACAGGCCGGCATAAATTAGGATGGATTGTAAAGCTCCTTGTACTGTAGCATCAGTTCACATATAACAAAACGCAAAAGCGTTCACAAAATAAAACAGTAGTTTTAAAATGAAATATGGATAATTTCGTACGTAAAAACGGATGTGTATCATGGATTTGAGAACGCTTCATACCTTCTATCCTTACGTAGCTAAAATACTTGCAAAAATTACTTACCCAGAGAATCTGGGACTGCGGGCGGCTAGGGCAGGGTTGTTAGAATTGGGCGCGGGTGGTGGCGTGGGCGTGTACTGGTGGGAGGGCGGTTCCCTATGTAGGTGAATGGGTGGGGTGTATTGGGGCGAGGAGAGGGCACTCAGGGAGGCCTCGTGGTAAGTAGTCTTGAGGCAGCGGTCCTCCAACCGATTGTCAGCTTTATGGGCCTTAGCTGCCGAGCAGATATCCACGAAGGCCACGGTGGCGCATATACCTGCACTCCCTTCCTCGCCGCCCACTCCGCCCCCCGCCAGCACCTTAACACTCTGCACGGGGCCATAACTGAAAAAGAAATTTAAAAGATTATTATATGGTCACTACACACCAAGGAAACGGGGATCAAGAGCTTATTGTTTTGAAACGGCTGACATTACCGTTGCTCCCAGTATATCTCGCATTTCTATCCTCGTTCAATAGAAACGTCCATCGTAATTTAAGTAATTCCTTTTACATCATACCACAAGCAAGACTGCCAAGCTTTTGAGCGTTAACAAGAGTAAATTGACACTTATGTACATAAGCTTAGCTCTGCATCTATTTTAGCCATCGCCATTCTCCGCATAAACAAAGAGCAAAGACGACGTGAGGTGGCGAGAAGCACGCCCCCGAGCCTCACAGTCGGGGTCTTGCTACACGGGAATCCCCAGTCCGTCCTGCCTCTGTCATCCAAGGCCTCAATCTATTGAGCACTCAGAATACACATGCCTACATTTGCTTCCAGAACACGCAAAAGGGAATGAGTCCCATCAAGAACAAAAGAATCTAATATGTGCAAAAGTGCGTTCATCGTTTGCACGCATATCGCTTTACGAGAAGCAAGCTGAATATGAGAGACCAGCTAAATTGATCATCTTTCCTTTCTGCTTGCTTAGTTACCATTATTTACCAAATCTACAGGCCTCGTGTCATAATAACTCTTGAGGTACATCGATGAAAAAACTATATAAAAATGGCGCTAAAGAGACGAGTTTCAAAGGAAGGGCACAAACCTCAGGCGAGATGCGAGGAGATTTAGACCCCCAAGAATAAGGAGCGCTATACAAATTCCGTGTATGATAAGGATGACCTTAAAATACTGCTTCTCTGATACATTTGTACACGCTGGCACTTTGCCAACCGTGCAAATAAATGTAAAAATATATAATCGTGAACAACTGGGGAAGTCACATGGTATGCCGACATTACTCTCTTTCGTGAAGACGACAGGAGAGGGAGCCGACACACCGGCATGGTATTTATAGCTCGTGAGGTGCCTCCTCATCCTTTCTTGAATACAAGTCTCTCTCCATGGCACCTACCGGCCGCCTTGGGAGAATTCATAACGCGGACTTACTCTTGTAAATGTGAAGAGACAACCCAGAAAGCACATATTAACTTGGTATTTGTGTAGCCTACCTCTGTTATATCACTATTATTGACGCACCGCAAAATAATTCGTATGGCAATATAACGACTATACTAAGCAAAGGAGGCGCCTTATCTCGCCCTCGTGACTCGCATGGGGAAAATATTACCTCGTGACATTTTACAATAACCTTGGGATGAACTACCGACCACATTCAATTACCCTGAAGGAAGAGAACCGGGGAAAAAGGGAAGAAGGGGGGAGGGGGAGACCGAAAGAAAGGAAGGGAGGGAACCCGAGGGAACGGAAGGCTGGCCAGGTAAGAGCGCGCGAAGGGGAGAGGGTCGGGGGCAAGTGGGACAAGGGAATGGTCAGGGTTAACTAATGACAGGGTCGGAACAGCCCTCCTCTAGACCCTGCCGGGCGGACAACACCGCCCCGACCATTTCCATCACGCTGGCCAACCTTATCTGCACGCCATTAACAATCTCATCAAAGGCGCCAATTTGCTCTACGTTTTCTTAGCAACCATTAACTTTCCATTTTGCTTCTAATTGTAAACGGTACTCCTATTTCCCCAAACTAAAACGATAATGTTTCAGGGTCCTTACTACTTGTGTGAGACTTTCTAATTCTAATGCAAATCCCTCTGATGACAATAACACATTCCCGGGTAAAATTGGCCCAGGCTCGGTACACCGACCAGTTCCTCCACCTACACCCGCCTGCCCTTTCTTCTGTGACAATAACCGAGTTTACATCGTCGCCCTGAGTATACAATAAACATATAGAAAATCGTGGCACTGAAACCACAGCACTTGAGCAAAGGCTTTCTTGTGAACCTTATAGTATCCTTCTCTCTGTTACTTCTCAACCTATCAACCTCTGAATCCCTCTCTCAATGGCCTAGATCGCCAGTTGTTTATAAATACCGCCGTAATTTCTTTTCGAACTAAGCTTTTTCGTACTCCTTGGCCAACATGGAAGGGAAAGATTTTGTTATACGTGGTAACGTACTGTCGGTTACTGCCATAGGTGGAGCGAGAGATGACTTCATGTTCAAGTGGTGACGTCATAGTGAGAGCCAGTCGGGTCTAGGTGCTGTACACTGAAAATCTCTGCATTATTTAATTTGCCTTTACTTATTTCTGTAATAAAATACACATGGCAATCATAACAATGAACACCAGATCCGTTAAAGCCAAAAGACCAGAATACTGTGACAAAGCCGTGGTCTAATAACGAGGCTCGATAATCTTACATCTGGCGGGAAACAGGCAGATGGAATGGCGGCAGCGACCCACACCGCCGCCCGTCCCAGCCTGCGGGGGCGGCAGCACAAGACCGCTGTTGCAACCTCTCAAACACGTTCCTTCCAACCACACCACGCCTCAGAACCTGCTGTGACCTGCCCATCTTACCTGCTGCACACCGTACTTGGCCGAGCTGGAACTAACCTGCTTCCAACCCCTTTCTGCTGTCAGAGTGCGGCGGCGGATGTAAAGACCTACAACTGGGCCTCTCCATCATCACACCAACTCTCTATGACTGTGTAATGAGCTCATTTCATCCCACACTTTCATTATTAGTTTGAGGACATAGGGTGTGTATGAATGCATAATATACATCCGAAAATTGCATGTGTATCCGCGTATCATGTACGCGTACTTGTGTGGTTAGAGCGTTCTGGCGTGCAGCATACTCATGGGTTTTCCACACAAGGTAGACATTACAGGTGTTACGGAAGTTCCTCGCCTTAAGTCAATGACCGCTTTCACATGTCGCTGTGTTGGGAGTCCCATATTCAGCAGGATCCAATGAATGCTAGTGATATACTTAACATCATTTTCCCGTTTTCAAAGGAAGCGAATGAGAGAAAGCTAAGAATAATTAGAAGAAGAACTAGGAGAGAAAAACTATAAGACAGAGAAAGTGATAGAGAGGTGTTATACACCCACATGAACTTTAGCACGTACTCCTTCATCCACATGCACTCACTCATCTCCTACATTATCATACGGGGAGTGCGTGTATGTGCAAATATGTGTTCATGTGCGTTTGATAGCGAATAGTGTCCTTCTTGTGTATGTGACTGTGCGCGCATGCAAGAGCATTCGTGCATGAGCGAGTGTACTTCATATTCACGTAGACGGTGGTGTGCCAAGCTACACATTAAGCGAGGAGTCTGCATTATCGTTATCTAATCTCAATTCAGAGGCGTTCTGATAGTGGGAGATGAGACTTTTGACTTCAGGTGGGGGAGTACAAAGGATTGTCACTACGCGCCGTGCACTTCGTAGCGGATCATGACGACACCCAGCCCAACCCCGACATCATCCACCCGTCCTCCGTCCAGCCGCTCTGCAAGTGAAGTCTGCTCAACCCCCTCCGCAACAAGGAGTAAGGGAAGGTGTAAGAGAAAAGACGGAAGAGACAAATTAGTGATTAAAAAGGAAATGGCAAAATTCCCGTTGGGATAGCCAATTTTTAGAATATCAAATTGCATAGGCTCAAATAAAAATGATAACCTTTTTTACTATATTTATTACCGAATGACTTGGTAATACAATGCTCCGGCGCACTGTCGAGTACAAGCGTGAGGTTGGTGAACGGGTGAGGGCCCGCCCGCCCCCCTCGGCCTACCCCTCTTCCCCTCCACCACACACCAGCAGCCGGCTGTGACGCACCACTGTGACGCGACCACCACCCTTACTCGCTGCCAACATCATACTCGCATCTTCCAACTAACTGTACTGCACCAATGTTACGAAAATGCACGAAATGCCGCCCCTTTATACCTAAAACGACATTTCCATACTTTAATAAGGAGGGAGAGAGCTTTGGAGATTCTTTATACATACACATATGTGTGTGCGCGTGTGGTGGTGGTGGTGGTTTTTGTTTGTTTGTTTGTGTGTGTGTGTGTGTGTGTGTGTGTGTGTGTGTGTGTGTGTGTGTGTGTGTGTGTGTGTGTGTGTGTGTGTGTGTGTGTGTGCGCGCGCGCGCGCACATGTATGCTTGAATGTATAAGCAAATTAAACATTACATAATGTGCAAATGGATGAGATAAAAAGCACAATCTCGCCTCAAATGGCTCAACCTACAAGGAAACGGTGTTTCCACATGCACTGGCTGTCTCGGGGCTGCCGCCAAGTCTGAATTGTGTTGGCACACGGTAACCCCGAACTTGGACCCCTATACCACGTGACCCTGGTTTTACACCAAGCTCCTACAGCGTGCTGCAATGCCTCCCTCTGTGTATGCATTTCCTCATGTCCACAACAGTGAAGTGCCGTAATAATCACGACACAGCTTTCCATTAAATGTATCGCAGAGGCTACTTAATACTTCATCCTCACGAATGCAAAAAAGCCGCTGTAAGATTATTTTGGTAACGCTTTCAATCAGTAGCATCTGAATGTATAACCACGATAGTAACCATGCCTACTAGTGCGCCCATCACCATGTGGCCTACATTATGGCAAGGACCCTAACAATAAATCAATACCCGAGTGTGATTGTACGTGTTGTAAGGCCAACACAGCATCTGACGCACCACAAACAATTTCCTGTTTTACGTGACCTTACGTAAGTTCTTCAATACTACCAGCTTTATCATTCAAAACTGTGCACTCTGAATCCTAGGTCTGCATTCACTATTAAAAAAACAAACAATGTAAAGGTTCTCAGCTTGCACCGATTTTGCAGGATAGACAGGTCAATAGTATTGCATGAACGCAAATGCATATGCTTTACAGTATTTAATACCTTTCACCCATCGGGTTTCCCTATGGATGGAACACTGATGAGATTCTGGAGTTAAGAGCACATTCAGCAACACAAAGACGCCGTATGATCTCGGTAAATTGTTACATGAAAATTTATATTATAATGGAAAATAGTACTCGTTCAAGCATCAGAAATCCTTCAAGAAATC